CTGCACCCCCCCCTACTCTGCTGCACCCCCTCTGCCCTGCTGCACCCACCCTGCTCTGCTGCACCCACCCTGCTCTGCTGCCCCCCACCCTGCCCTGCTGCACCCCACCCTGCCCAGCCCCACCTACCATGCTCATGAAGCCAGGGTTGTTCAGCAAACCAGCCAAGTCGAATCCTCCAGGACCACCCGTCTGCAGGGGCAGAGAAGCCACAGGCAGTTGCTGCTCCCCCTGCTGCATCCCCCCAACATTCCCACTGTACTCCCAGTGTCACCAGAACCCACCTTAACCCACAGCAAACCCTGTCCAGAACCCTCTGTGGGGCTCAGCCACAGCCCCACAGGCTGAGGGATGAGGCTCAGGGGGGCAGCTCTGCCTCAGGATCCCCCCCTGCCCAGCTGAGCCCCCCAGCCCAGTTACACACACCCACTGGTCTTTAGAGCATCAAAATCCCCTTCAAAATTACAACTAAGATGTTCCTGCACACAGCCCAGCAGCAGGGCAGGCAGCAGCTTTCCAGCCAGGAAACCTCCAGGTTTCTTTTCTTCAGGGAAAAAAAACTTCAGGAAGCCAGCCCCCTTGGCAGAGCTGACAAGTCACTGACAAGACAAACCTGCATTTTAGGAGCACTGACTTTAATTAAGAAAGGTGCTGCAGGCAAAACTGCTGCTTCAAACCCCTCCTGTGCCATCAGCCTGGTTGTGCAGCTCTGCCAAACCCAGGGTGGCTGTGCTGGAGCAGAGACCTTTCCCTCTGGTTCCAGAGGAGATTCCCAGGACTCATCTCCCTCTGCCTGCACACGATTCCCAGCACAGCCCAGTCCACCCAGACTCTGCCAGATGCAGCCCCAGATCCCTCCTGCTGAGCTCACCCCCTCCCCCCAACCAGCTCCAGGTTCAGAACTCACTGGACTGGGAGTCTCCTTCATCTTCTGCTCTGCAATTTTCAGGTTGGATTTGTAGGTATCATTCTCTGGATCCAGCTCCAGGGCTTTTTTGTAGTAAACCACAGCTTCTGTGTGCTTATTTAAACTGGAGAGGGCCAACCTGTCCCAGGGGAAGCACAAAACCACAAGCCCCAGAGTCAGCCAAGCCCTCCTGCCCCACAGCAGAGCTGGCAGCCCAGAGGGTCCTGCAGGGGGGCAGGGCAGAGCACCAGCCCCAGCCCCACTGCCGGGGGGGGGGTTAGAAATGCAAATGTTGGGGTGAAAAAAGCCTGTCCTGCCTCACCCCATCCTGCCATAGGCTTTGCTGTAGTTGGGGTCGATGCCTATGGCCCTTTCACAGTCTCTCACTGCTCCAGCATAATTTCCCAGTTTGCTGTAGGCAGCAGCTCTGGAGGGAAGGGAGAAAGATGAGAAGACAAGACTCATCAGCTGGAATCTGCTGGTCAAGGTCACCCCTGTTCCCCCCCCATAGTCCCCTGTTGTAGGAGGCAAAGTCAAGGGGGACCTTGGCACAAATCCAGGCTGCTCCCCAACCCCCAGAGACATCCAGGCTCAGAGTGGAGCTCTGGGGGGCAGGAGGGACCCACCCCAGCTCAACCCTCTGATGCCTCCATTTCTGGGTCACCCACCCCATCCATCCCCCCACACAAGAGGGGAAACTCTTCTGGAAGCTGCAACCTGCTCCTTACACTTTGAATCTCACAGCTCCAATGGAGGGACTTGCCCAAATCCTGCTGGGAATGACCCTCAGGCAGCTGAGGAAGCCTCAGCACAAAGCACCAGCTCCTCTTCACTGCACCCCCTGCCCCAGGGAGCCCCTCCCCAGCCCCCAGCTCACTCCTGCAAGCACCTGTACTCATGGTTACCAGACAACAACCCTGCATCCAGGTCTGTTTTGCCCAACAATTGTGCAACCAACACTTTTCAAACTGAAAAACAGGAAATTCACACCCACCAACTCCTCCAGTTCCCACTGAGGAGCCTCCAGCTCCTCTCCCTTCAATCCTTTGTTCTTATCACCAACCCAGCCTCTCAAACCCGAGGTAACTGCATCAGGGCAGAACATTTCCTGGCATCCTCCTTTCTCCCCAGAAGCCTGGAGTTGGTTTCCACACCCAGCTCCTACCTGGAGATGCCAAGAGGCACAGGGAAGTGCCTTTAAAATCCCCCCCAAAGAGCAAGCAATGGAAGAGCTAGCCCAGAGAATAACAACAACAGGGTTTGTGAGCACTGGGGTGGCTCAGGTAGAAGCAGCAGGGACAAGGAGGGGTGGACAAGGATGGAGAAAGAGCATCAGTACCTGTTGCAAAAATACACAGCATTGCAGGGATTCAGGTCAATGGCTTTGCCATAGAAGGACACAGCAGCTTCAAAGTTTTCTGCCTTCATCTGTTCATTCCCTGAAGAGATGGTGGGAAGTCACTCAGTGACAACCAGGGAGAAACAAAAGAGCAGGGCTGGTCCCCTTGGCTTTCTTCTCATTCCAAGCATTCCCAGATATGGGGGGAATTCAGCCTCCCTCCCTTTTTCCATCTAACCCCCCCCACACCCCAGCCCCAGAGGAGGTACCTTCAGTCTTGAGCCTTTCAGCCTCAGCTACATCATCTTCAGAGGGGGTGACAGGCTCTGAGTTTGTCCTGAGATGCTCAGGCTCCTGCCCAGGACAGGAAGAAGAGCATGGAAAGGATTCCCATTGGGATAACCCCCCACCCCCCCAGTGCTGGCTCCTCAAACCCACACCATGTCCCCCCACCCCAGCTCTGAGGGGCAGCAGCACAGAGACCAGAGCTCCTTGCAGGGCTCCTGCTTTAGATCATTCTCTCACCTTCCCTACAGCAGCTTCAAAGATTTGTGGCAGAGTCTGGGACACAGCCAGGCCCTGGTCTTCCATGGAGACCCCAAAGGCTGTCTCCAGGCACTGGATGGCCACTGGGCAAGAAGAGACAGGTCATTAGTTTCCCCCCAAACCAGCTAATCATGAACCTCCTCCTCCCCCAGCACCTCAATTTCTGCCTGTTGAACACACCTGGAACAAACAAACCAACCCACCCAAAACAAGACAATTGCACAGCCCAGACTTGATATTTGGGCTGAAACCTCCCATTTTGCCAAAGGCTCAGAGCTGGGCAAACCTCAGCACTGGAGATGGAGCCAGTCATGATTCCCACCCCCCCAGTGGCTCCAGAGCAGGGGCTGGGGGGCAGGAGTAAATTAAACTGGGGCTTTGCTGCCCTGTCACAGCCACAGGTGGCACCAAGCAGGAACAGACCTGGGTGTTTCACTTCCCAGAGGGTGGCTGCTGGCTGTGGCAGAGCTGCACAGACACCTCCTCCTCCTCCTCCTCCCAACCTGGGCCCCAGGTCTGGAAGCTGCTTCCAGGTCAGGGGGAGACACAGAGCTCAGTTGTACAAAACTCCTATTTTATTCCCCCAAAGCAGCAGGAATAAACCCCCCCTGCCTCCCCCAGGGATGTCCCCACCACCCTGCAGAGGTGCCTGTGCTTCAGTGGGATGAACAGAGAAGCTCAAGGCTGAAGCATAAGCTCCTTAAGTGTCTCTCCAGGACAAGTGTGCCCTGGTTGCCAGGGCAGCCCTCAGAGCCTGCACAACCCCCCAGGCTGTGCTGGGGAAAAGCACATTAGCATCAGAGTGGGAACAGCCCCCTGGCAGGACACAACACTTCCCTGCAGCCAGGAAGCTTCATTTTACACCCCAAGCCTCCTGATGCTGCCTGGCTGAAGATAAAATTGTCCAGTGGTGACCCCAGGGCCAGGGAGGCTTCTGATCCCTTCCTCAAGCTAATCTGCTTTTTAGATACCAAGAGATCAGCTCAGGAATCAGCACCCTCAGTGCCCTGGAGACCTCCCCAGGAAGACAAATTCCCTGCAAATCTTGAGCAAGGTTTGATGTCAGGAAGAGCCCGGAATGGCAGAAGAGAGTGGGAGCATCCAAATGTCCCCACGTGTTGGGCTGACAGAGAGAGGGCCATGAATAGGGAAGCACAGGAGCCACCAACCTTCCAGGCTCTCCTGAGCATCTGGGGACAGGCCCCCGTGCTGGAGCTGGTCCTGCAGGAACTGGATGATGGAGAAGGCCAAGCGCTTCTGGTCGGCCATGCTGGGAGGCTGCAGCAGCTCCTCAGCTGCTGGGACTTGAAAAAAATTGTCTGTGGAGAGAGAAATTACATGGACAAGAAGTCAAAGAGCTTTTCTGTAACCATAACCCCTTCACACGGACCCTTCAGGTCTCCACTCCCCCTCTCCAGCCTGAAGTTCTGCCCCACGAGGCTCCTGCCAAGGGAAACACAAAGTGCTACCAAAGCAGCTCTGAGTGAGCAGCCCAGCCAAGCTGGGCACTGAGCAGATCACCTGGGAGAACACCCACAGTTTTCTGCTTTCAGAGCATAATTTGACTCTGAAACAAGGACAAAAGCTGAAGAGATTTGCCTTGATGAGCAGAGCTGGGGGGTCAGGGCTGCCACCCCCCCGTGCTGCCCTGCCAGGAGAGGGAGGACCCGGGGAGCAGAGTGACCCCTGCAGCTCATCCCGAGGCTGGAGCTCCCCTGGGAGGAGCTGCTCCCACGGCACCTGAGCTGCCCCGCAACCCCCCGCGCTTCAGGCTTAACTGGGTTTGTAGCACAGGACACCCCGCCGGGGGAGTCGAAAGAGAAACTAAACATTTGCAACACAAAACTCTGCGAAGAGGGACGAGCCGAGCTGGTCCGGACCCCACTGAAACCCACCGCAGACCC